TTTCATAGATTCTATCAGAACTCATGTCAGGGCATTAGAAGTACTGAAGCAGCCTATAGCACACTGGGAAACCATTCTCATTTATTTGCTGAGTGACAAGCTGGATTACACAACAAGAAAGGACTAGGAATTAGAAATAGGCAAGAGAGATGCAGACAGCATGCCATCTCTAGAGGCGTTGTTAGAATTTTTAACAACTAGAGCTCACACATTGGAATTAGTAGAGGGATCGAAGAATAAGCAAGAGCATGCGAAGTATACAGCACTCAAAAAAGTCGGCAAAAAAGTAAACGTGGCAGCTACATTACCATCGTGCGTATTTTGCGAAGGTCAACATCATGTATCGAAATGTGAGAAGTTTCAGAAGTTGTCAGTTTCAGAAAAGAGGGAAGAAGTAAGAAAGCGACAGTTATGTTTTAATTGTTTGCGTAAAGGTCATTATATTCAAGCGTGTATAGCCTCTACTTGCAAGGTATGTTCGAAAAAGCATAACACGATTTTGCATATGGATCAAGGAGAGCAGATAGAAAACAAGACCACAACAGGGATGAACAGCAAAGACAAATCCAACACAACAGGTTTATCAAAGGAATTAAGGGCTAATACAGAAGCATCGGGTAAAGAAGCAGCAGTGATAGTGCATACAACGCGACTTACCGAATCTATAGTTTTCATAGCTACAGCTAAAATATACGTCATGGACTATGAAGGAAATTGGAGAGTCTGTCGAGCCATGCTGGATCCAGGCTCACAAAGTAATATCATCACCAAGGACTTAGCAAGAAAATTAAAGTTAAAGGGAAACAGAGTTGAGGTGCCAATTAGCGGTATAAGTCAAACGCAAATTACAGCGAAAGAATCAACTAGCATACGAATCAAGTCGATGCATAATGAGTTTTCGGCAGAATTAGATTGTTTAATAATGCCATCCATAACGGAAAGGTTACCACACATCAAGGTTAATACGCATAACTGGGATATTCCAGAAGAATTGAATTTAGCAGATCCAAGTTTTAATTTACCAGGAACAATAGACATCCTTCTAGAAAGCAGCCACTTTTGGACATTAATGAGTGCTGGACAAAGAGAACTCAACGATTCCTTGCCTAGGCTGCAAGAGACGCAGCTAGGTTGGATAGTAGGAGGTGAACTAATAAATCCGAGAGCATTGAGCAACAAACGAGTTTGTAATATAGCAGCTATAAATCTAAACGAGCAGTTAATAAAATTCTGGAGCATTGAGGAATCCCCGATTCAGCAACGGGAGAATTTATATACGCCACAGGAGCAATTAGCAGAAGATCTGTTCTTGCATACTGTGCGAAGAGATCAGGATGGCAGATACATAGTGCGTATGCCAAGAGACGAGTCCATCAAGCTAGGCAATTCGGAGAGCATAGCAATCAAAAGATTCTTAGCGATAGAAAGAAAGCTAAATCAGCAACCGAAGTTGAAAGCAGACTATCATAAATTTGTAAAGGAGTATGAAGAATTAGGACATATGTCCATAGTCCAACCACCATATTCCATGCCAGAAAAGGAGTACTATTACCTCCCGCATCAACCAGTAATCAAGATAACAAGCTTAACAACAAAACTACGTGTAGTTTTCGATGGATCTTCTAAGTCATCAACCGGCACATCTTTAAATCAGAAATTGTTAAGCGGAGCCAACCTTCAGAGAGATTTATGGGAAATTATGATTAGATTCAGAGCACACCAGTATGTGATGACGGCAGATATTAAAATGATGTTCAGGCAAATTTGGATAGCCGAAGAAGATAGAGATCTTCAGAGGATTGTTTGGAGATATGACGCCACGGATCCGATTCAGGTATACTCATTGAATACCGTGACATATGGAACTACATGTGCACCATTTTTAGCCATGCGTTGTTTAAGACATCTAGCAACGCAGCCGGAGGCAATGACGCGAAAGGCAGCAGCAGCAGCATTACTTCAAGACTTTTATATGGACGACGTGTTAACAGGCAGTCACACATTAAAACAAGCAATCAAATTAAGGAATGAGCTATCAGAACTACTTGGAGCAGCAAGATTTCCTCTCAGGAAGTGGAGAGCGAGTGATACAAGAATATTACAAGGTCTTTCTCAAGAGATCGAAGAAGATTCACTATTGGTTTTAGATGATGCAGTGCCTTCGAAGACGCTAGGTTTGCTATGGGACTCATCTAAAGATCAGTTACAATATTCAGTAAGTCTGACGGACAGCAATCAAAATACGAAACGCAGTATTCTGTCGCAAATTGCGAGGATATACGATCCATTAGGATTAATAGGGCCTGTGTTGATCGTAGCCAAAATAATTATGCAAAATTTATGGAAACTAGATGTAGGTTGGGATGATCCGGTTCCGCCAGCTTTTTACGAAGCATGGTCTAATTACTATGCTTCGCTTGAAACGCTTAACCAATTCCGGATATCCAGAAACTTCAACCCACAAAACAGCAAGCAATCATTCACGCTCCATGGGTTTGGAGACGCCTCGGAAAAGGCGTATGGCGCTAGCATCTACTGCGTCTATGAAACGAAGCAAGGAGAACGCAAATCATACCTCATGTGTTCCAAAGCAAAGGTAGCACCTCTAAAAACGATCTCGCTACCTAAACTAGAACTATGTGCAGCACTTATATTAGCTCGATTGCTAGCAGCAGTAATAAAGGCTATGAAGCATACAATCAAAGATGTCCATCTGTGGAGTGACTCCACTATAGTGCTGTGTTGGCTAGATACACTTCCTCACAAATTAAAGACATATTACGCAAATCGAGTCACAGAAATACATGAACTTATACCAGAAGCCAAGTGGCATCATGTGCCTTCAGCCCAGAACCCTGCCGACATGTTGTCAAGAGGAACTACAGTCGATCAGTTGAGATCAAATAGCTTGTGGTGGCATGGCCCTACATGGCTCGCACACGAAGATCAATGGCCTAAGCCAATCGCAAATGTACCAACTGCTAAAATAGAACTACGGAAAGAAAATGTATTTGTAGCAGCAGAGTCTCGACAGGATGTTCTTCAGAGATATTCTTCCTTCAGCAAACTCAAGAGAATTATAGCATATTGTCTACGATTTAGGGATATTCTGTCAAATCAACGCAATTTTAATGCTTTAAATCCCGAGGAACTTAACAGAGCAGAACTGATTATCAGCCGCATGGTGCAAGCGGAACGGTTCCCGCGAGAAGCATGTTCATTACAGCAAGGAAAAGAAGTACCTGCTAATAGTCAATTAGCTGCACTCAACCCCTTTTTGGATGAAGCAGGAGTCATCAGAGTAAGGGGCAGATTAAAACACGCAGACCTTCCATACAATCAGAGGCATCCGATTGTTCTACCAGCGAGACATCACATCACGGAGATCTTATTAAGACAAGAGCATATTAAATTACACCACTGTGGGCCTCAGCAGCTGTTAGCAGACATCAGGACGCGATATTGGCCTCTTTCGGGAAGACGAGAAGCTAGAAAGATTGTGAGACGATGTATATCGTGCTTTAGATACCGACCAAGCATTCCCAAATTGAAGATGGCAGATTTACCAGCATTTAGAGTTACCACCGATATCAGACCATTTAACGTTTGTGGAATTGACTTCGCGGGTCCATTTAGCCTTCGAGAAAGCAAGAGAAGAGGTAACCTTCCTATCAGCAAAGCCTACGTAGCAGTTTTCGTTTGCTTTAAAACGAAAGCTGTACATCTTGAATTAGTTAGCAGCCTATCAACTGAGGACTTCATGTCCGCCTTTCGACGCTTTTGTGCAAGAAGGGGAACGTGCTCTCATGTGTACTCGGACAATGGCACTAACCTGGTAGGTGCTGCAAACGAGCTTAAGGAAATCTATGAGTTTCTCAAGACGCAGGAGTCTTGCATCGCGACAAGATTGGCAACGCAGAATATAAAGTGGCACTTCATACCTCCCCGATCGCCACATTTCGGAGGACTTTGGGAGACTGCCGTTAAAAGCGTCAAACGCCATTTATGAATCACCATGAAGGGTTTGATCTATACCTTTGAGGAATATTATACCTTATTGGTCGAAATTGAAGGTATTTTAAATAGTAGGCCACTGACAGCTCTATCATCAGATCCCAACGACTTAGAACCCTTCACACCCGCCCATTTCCTTATTGGAGACGCCTTAACAATGCCCGTTGAAAAGGATTTATTGAGTATCAAGGATACGCATTTATCTCGATGGCAACACATTCAAAAGTTACGCCAGCATTACTGGCAACGATGGCAGAAGGAGTATTTACAGCAACTACAAGCCCGAACCAAATGGAAAGAGGGTGACGACGTGGTACGGGTTGGAGACTTGGTTCTTTTGATCGAGGACAACCTAACTCCGCTGCAGTGGAAATTAGGACGGATCGAAGCGTTGCATCCAGGAGAGGACGGTGTCATAAGAGTAATAACTGTACGGACGTCCACGGGAAGTTACAAGCGCGCCGTTAAGAAGATATGTGCCCTTCCCTATAAAAACTAGAGACTCTATCATACAAGTTTGTAGATTCTAATAACTCAGTTATTCAATTAAAATTGTTAGTCTTAAGTTGTATAATTCATTATTTACCATTAGATAACTTTATTTGTAGTCAGTAGCAATATTGTCAAGTATGTGACATACAGTTTAATTGAAAGATGCCCTTTCAAGAGGGGCGGAATGTTAAGGCTTTACGTTCTTTTGCTCAATCGTTTATTATTACCATTATATTACAGCATTTCATTTTACATTTAGTTTAATAAACAGTGCAATACGCCTCTAATAGATGGCGCGCTTAATGGTTGGAGAGAAGGTGCGCGCGGTGTGTTGTTCGGTTCTGTACTTCGTTTCGTTCGTTATTGTAAGCATTAAGAAAGACATTCTGTAAGCATATAATTTTGTGGAATAAAAGCATTTTTTAGCAAAGGGAATTCTCTACAGAAAACTTCCCTAACATAGTTTTGGTCCTTCGAGCCGGATCGGTAGTCAATTAATCGGACTATCGAAGAATTACGACAGATAAGCAGAAACGCGGTAATTGTGTTGCAACGATAGAGGTTAGTTTGG